ATACCTCGAGTGCTGCCCACCATGCGACAGAGCTTCATGGAATGCGGTTCGAAAATGGTACGCGGCTTAGTGTCAAAATATCCGATCCCGGACAAAGAACAGCCCGCAGTGGCCCCAGATACGAAGGACGAGATATTTATGTTGCAAACATTGCCTGGGATGCTAATGAAAAAGATCTGAAAGAACTATTTTCTAAGTTCGGTGAAATCGAAAGGGTGTTGCTTGAGCGAAAGACGAATGGTGCCAGTAAAGGTTTTGGCTTTGTTACTTTCTCTACCAAGGACGCTGCCAATGATGCCGTCGCAATGAATGAACATGTGTTCAAGTCACGTCCTCTTCGTGTTGAAATTGCTACCACGGACAGCCGGCGTGGTAACCAACTCGTCATCTCTCGAGTTGCATCACACCCGGCAGATCACGGTGCCCGTGGTCTTGAAGTGCCAGTTGGTGATCATGCACAGCGCACACTTGCTCTGATGAATGTCCCCGATACCGTCAATCAAGCCCGCATCCGTACCCTTGTCGAACCATATGGCCGTTTAATCGCGATCAATTTGCGCCCAGAACATCAAGGTGCTATTGTGGAATATGTCGATATTCAGGACGCTGGCAAAGCTGCGTTGGCGCTCGAAGGGAAGGAGATCATTGCTGGACGCCCTCTCCATATCGGCACGGTTCGAGAGATGTTGAATTTGCAACCGGAAGTCAAAACAGACCGAGGGCAATCCGCCAAGCCCGAACGTATAATGAAGAAGACGAACCTACAACTTACTGCGCCGATTAGACGCCCGCAGCAGCCTGGCGCTCGGAAGGGTGGTGGTCTTGGGATGAAACGACAGATCGTAAGTTCCGGTCAGAAACAATCTGCTGCCACTCCGGCCAGCGACAAAAAGGACGCGACGCCCGACGGCGAGAGCAAACCAAAAAAGAGCAACGATGATTTCCGCGCTATGCTCGCACGAAAGGGTCCGGAATGAAGTGCAAGTGCAATGATAGCGACAACTATGGCGCAATATTTTTTTCGGCATTATTCATTCGGCTGGCGTTTGTCTGTTTTCCGGTGGTCATCTTGCTGCTTCCTTTAGATCCGTATGTATTCACTCGGGTCGGTCTTTTCCGTCATGATTTCTTCTTTGTTTGTGGCACATGCCGTCGTGTATATTATGACTGTATTGCTCTTAGTTCTAATGATGATGTCTGTTCCGAGGGGCTGTCTCCGAGACATTGCCCCGGTGACTTGAAAGAACTGGTGATCTATATACTGTAGTATATCGGTGATTCTTCGATTCTTTAAACTTGACTGTATGAAGAATCCATGTCTCATTTACCATATTTTATACATTATCGCTGCAGAATGGAGGTGTCTGATTGGACTATATGTCACGATCATGCAAAACACATTGACGTCAACCGGCTTCACTTGGTCAACTTCTTGATTCTCTGCGGGGAAATACAAAACACCTTCTGATCCATTCTAATGGGTTGCACAGAGATTTATTGAAACAATATACCCCTTTTCATCTATATACATCTCCTCGAATCGCTAAACTCCTAAAGTCTCGCGTGATCCTGATTCTTATCGGACCGATTAGCCCCTCTCATACGGAATACCATCCCTACCTTTACCCGCATCGTCTCTATTTCCTGTGTCTTGCTTGGGTTTAGGCCTATTGACACTTGTCATAATATCGCTGCTCTACATTCAATGTGCAGAGCTATCACCAAGCACCGTGAATATTCCACGTCATCGCATACCTACAGCAATGGACTTCCACCTAGTACCTCGCGGTACCGATCGGAACTACACAGGATTTTTCACAAAGACAATAGTCTACATCGGGACGCTGATGATATTTCTAGCCTGTAGGCAAACTTTAGCGACTAGCCAGACACTCAAACTTACTAACAAAATCTCCCAGCATTTGGCTTGACAGTATCCTCGATCGTCATTCCAAAATGGGTCAGCTACCATAGTGAAAAGGTACGATGTTTTTGTTCACCCCCGACAAGCTCCTACTAACAATATGAACCTACAGCCCGATATCGAATACTCCTACGGCCTTTCCCGCCGCTGCTCCTCCCTTACCAATACCTGCGAGAGCTTCCCACAACGCGACGACTGCCACGGCGAAGACAGGTACTTCTGCTCTATGTGGCGCTCGGTCGGGTTCTTGATGTCCTTTGCTGTCGTTCTGCAGAGCATTAGCTTGGTCACATACCTGGTTATCCTGTCTGGCGGGAAACAGCTGCGCGAGAATGGGTGGAGTTTTCTTAGTTTGATGGTTGCTTTGTCTGCTATTGTGCAGGCAGCCGGAATGTCGATCGTGGTGGGTTGATAATATGTCTATATCTGGGCCCAAGATGACTTGTCCTAATGGTTTGGTTTACAGGCATATCTATTCGATAACGAGGACCGGTTCTTCATCGGCTGGAAACTTGACCAGTCCTGGATCCTTTGCACTGTTAGCTGGTGCTTAAGTGTTCTCTGCGCAGGCGCGGTTATTGTGTCTGGTAAGGTCTTGCCCTCAGAGGGCGGATACGAGTTGATTCCTGATCACGATGAGCTTCGAGTCACTTGATAGTGCCCAATGTAGCATTCATGGCTCCTGGATGAATCACGCGTTACGCAACAGACGAAGGATACCTATCTAGGTATCATTCGTCTTTGACGACTTCTTATAATTCTGCTATTTCGGTGGTTGCAGATTGACGTTTTCTATCTTTTGATTTCGTGCTTCGGCGTTGGGGCTGTATACGTCTTTTATGCTTCTGAAATATAACAACACAACTAATATGGATAATGATTTGAATAATATATCTCTCTATGGCAAGATAGGTTTATCATTTCATATCTTTGAAGACATGTAGAAAAATGCAATGCGACGTAGAAGCTTCATCATTCATCTCATACAGTACATTTCCTCATTCTCAATCTACCAGACAATTTCTTTCCCATTCAGCCCCTCAATAGCCGGAATCAGTGGCCGCAGCGCTTGACCATAGTCACCCCCGTTCGGCGTGCGAAGCAGAGTGTGAATGTGGAATTTCTTCGGCTCCTCATTATTCAAAAACACACCAGAGTGATGATCAAACTCAACGAGGATCACCGGATTCTGAATACGGTAATAGAATGGATCGTCATCACCATACCCCCCAATCCAACAAAAGTACGTCTCCGCTTCATGCGCGCGCACCTGATTAATCTTCATAGCCCGCGATTTAGCCGGCAGGTAAAGCAGATATTGCTCCAGAATGCCGTACACGAGCTGCTTCTGCGCAGTACTAAAACTCGACACGAGAATACCCTCATACGGCACCTCCCGGTTGTCACGGTACGCACCGCACAGATGGCGCTGGTCATCCTTATTCCAGCGACCGGGCGGCATGGCTGGATCTTTCATGTGGGCAAAGACACGAGCGGAAGCCTGCAGCTCCGCCGAGAGCGACTGCATCAGCTGCAACCCGAGCTTCTCCTCGATCTGCAAGATGCGCGTGCCGGCGTAAGGGCCAGCGTCGATCTCGTTTGGCTCTGCTCCTGTGAACCACGGCGACGCGACGATCTGCCCTTTGTACAAGAAGACGTTCAGGCAGAGATGATGGCCGTAGAATGACCAGCCCCAGGGGCGTGTGATTGATGGGCGGCCGAACAGGACGAAGTTGTAGGAGAATTCGTTCATCACTGCTGGCGACTTGACTAGCTCGCCGAGGAAGTGGTTGATGCGCATTGCGCTGACGGCTTTTTCGTAGCCTTCTGGTGAGAGCGTTGTCTTCAGGACGTTCATCACTGCGTCCCGGGTCTCGGGGGTGACTTCGTCGAGCCGGATGCCCTTGTCCGCGAGTAGGAACTCCGGGTTCGACCATGTGCGCCATTGCGGCGAGTCGATGTGGTAGTTGATGGCTTCTTTTTGCTTATCATCTAGCAGGCTGGTTACGGCTTCTGCTGCGTCTACAATTTGTTGAATTGGGACGTCTTCTTCTTGTAATGTGAAGAGACCCGGGCGGACGTTTCCTGTAGATGTTAGAAGCGTTCTGGTATCGTTTCAGTTTAGCTCATACCATCGGTGGTCACGCCTTTGAAGGGCTCTTGGAATAGCTCTACCCAATGCATATACAGTGCATGTAGCCAAGGTGGCCGATGTCCGGTCTTAAATTCGTTCGCGTATTCGTGCGCATCTTGCTGGCACATCGCCTGGAAGCGCGGGTTATTGAGGTCAGGCAAGTACTGGCGGTACTCGCCTGTGGTATTTTTCGATGCATTGGCCATAGTTAAGAATGCTATAAAAAAATAAATCAAGAGAGATGAAGAGATATCAAGGTGTTATAGCAACCCGAGACCCCACATCAGGATGACCGGTCTTCCCCACGCTCGTGGGGATGGGAAATTCCTTATCCGCTCTGGCAAGATGGGGCTTCTGGTCTGACCACCGGAAAGATATTATGTATTTGGAGAAATGCTATAGACACACTCTTATGGTATGCCTATAGTGTTCTTAGCACGACCGCACCATTAAGTACCCTTCCATACCTATGAAAAGAACATCCGAAAAGACATATAAAAGCCCAAGTCTAGAGAAACTGCGAAGGAACAAAAGATAGACTTCATTCGCACAGAAGAAACGATATATCAGATATTATACATGAATTACCAGGCTACTTATAGCCTATGAGCTGTTTACTGGGCAACCAAAAAGGTATGGACATCCCGCAACTCACTGAGCCTCTCTTCTTGTGAGGACTCGGATATTCCGAGTGATTCTCCGCATGAAGTCTTCCCTCATATTTTGAAAATCCCATAACTCTTGTGCGTCTTCCTGAGAGCTTCGAAACACGTATTCCCCCGGACCTTGACAATTGCCTGATTTAATCCCGGACTTTTCCCCGGTCACGTGCAGTGAGGCCGGTCCGGGATTTCCGGCCTCACCCAATTGTCGTCGAAGAATATAAGCGCAACGCTCAACGTCGTTATTATCGTCTGAAGCCTATTGGGGAATGTCTCGATGATGCAGAATCCTCGGTCTCCGATCCAACAGCCTGAAGTCGAGCAGCCGGCCGCTAAGCGCATCAAGCGGCCGCGTGCGACTCAAGCTTGCGACAGATGCAGGTTGAAGAAGTATAAGTGCAATGAGCGATATCCGTGTTTGCATTGTAAAAGTGAGTGACCAGGTTATAATTAGTGGCGGCATTTCTCTGACAATTACAGAAAGCGGCTGGGATTGTGTGTATCAGGGAACTTATCGAGAGCGTGAAAGTAGCCGGTCTGCAAAGTAGGTCGATCACTCCGCATATCCAGTATGTTTGCTAACACTCATAGTTATGTCGCCGAACTGGAGAAGAAGCTGGAAGAGCTGACCTCGAAGCTTCGTGATACGGAAGCCAAAGCTTCCTCTAAAGGTCCTATTCCACCAGCAGCTGAAACGTTATGCTCTATGCGCAATTCTTCCACGCCACGGGATGTTCCGGCAATATCCGAGGCTCGTGAAGGACCTAGAGAAATTTCAGACAAGCAGACTCAAGAGTTCAATCACATCAACACCATTGAATGTCACAGTAGTACGTCCCCGGCTGCAGTCATTGGCCATCTGAAGAAAGAGCTTGAGCCAAAATACCAAGAAGAGCATTTTTCTCACGCAGCTGATTATTCGATCATCTCAACACTCCGTAATCCAAACTTGTCTCCTTTATACGCCACTGGGCCGGGGCAGATGCTGTCAATTGAACAGTCAAACTACTATTTCGACCAAGCTCATATCTTTATGAATGGATATTTTGAGAGCATTCACTTCATCCATCCGTTTGTTGATAAGGAGGACTTTTTCGCGCGTGCTAATGATCTTTGGTTTAATCGATCACGCAAGCCTGAGCCGAGTTTTGTCGCTCTATACCTCAGTGTTCTATCGCTTGGGGCTTTGGTGCGTGTATGGGATGAAGGTACCTTGGCCGGCTTGGGTCGGTTTGAATGGAGCCGGAAGCTGTTTGGGGAGGCGCAGGGATACCTGAACAACCTGCGGTTTTCGAATGATCTCGAAACTGCTCAGTGTCTTTACATGATGGTGCGTGGGTGTTTCTCTATGCGTGATCGCAAGCTAACTTGAGCAGGCCAAAGTTTGTCAAAATGAACTCAATCCAAATTGTAAGTGTTCATTCTACTTTTTGATTTCAAGATCTAACAGAACAGTGGCCTACATGTATCTTGGTCTCGCAGTACGGACGTGTCTATCTGCCGGCTTTAATCGAGAGATTCCGTGTCTAGGAGATACCACCGAACGTTCTGGATGGATCTCAAAGACTTGGTGGTAAGTGGAAAGTTTGTCTCTCGATATAAATTATAACTCTAACGAGGTGATAGGGGTCTGTTCTCTTTGGAAATGTAAGCATATCGTGCATTATCGTTGTTAATACTTACTGATAAATTAGTGAGATGAGCTTTTCGGTTGGACGGCCAGACACCCTTGGAATGGACGAATATCACAACCGCAGCATTCCACCACGCGATGATTCTGAATTTGCCATCATCCCATGGATGATTGATTTTGCGCAGATCATTCGACAAGTATCTGTTCAAATCTATCATTCTCGCATCTCATTACAGGACAAGTTACAACTTGCTCTACAGATCGAAATGGAAATGGATCGTTGGCTAGCGAGGCTTCCAGAAATGATCAAACCCGACATTGGTGGATATAGACCGTCTCGTAGTGCCCTGCGCGACCCGAAATGGGCACGAAGACAACGGCTTGTATTGGGAATTAGTAAGTTATCCATGGGACTTGTTAACTAACTCCCGACTAACGAATTTAGGGTATTATAATGTCAAAATGTTGCTCTTCCGGCCTTTCTTAAGCCACTTTCCGCGCAAACTCCGACATTCTCCAAGCGAATTGGACCAAACTTTTGACAAATGTTTGGACGCCGCTATGAAGACTCTCCAGGTGCTACATGACCTTTACCGAGTTCACACGTTTTTCCGTTGCTGGTATGTTCCTTTGCCGAGTATCGTTCCTTTGCTAACTCTTTAGGTGGTATAACACAACCTATATAATGCTTGCTACGTCAACACTCCTCCTTCCAATGTCTAGGCTCGGCATGTGCGCTGAAACTATTCCTTTGTTGCAATCTGTGGAAATGGGCGTGGAGATCTTGGAAGCCATGGATGAATGTGCAACATCACAAAAGTCGGTAGAGATTATCAGGCAGTACCTCAGGGATTTCCGAGCATCCGGAGCTTCACAGCCACCAGGAGACGACGAAGCCCAATCTGAGGCGGGACAGGTATTTGACGTGCCAGTATGTATTATCGTCCTGTTTTCCTAGGATTTGCTGACCATATAGGAATGGGCTTATGGTTTCGGTCTGCCAGATTATTCTTTCGAGGGAATTGCTCAGCTATTTGACGATATGGGAGACATCCCGCTGGAATAATGATCTCATATACCCGAAAACTTCTATTCTGTATATATTTGCACCAGTGCCACCTGGGGTTTTGAAATCTATTTGATATCCTACGATCTTACGGACTATGACGTCTTCACACCGGTTGGTTTTTGGCAACCACAGACTCAACTTCTTTTATCACAAGGGCAGCAGCGAGCCATCGGAACTAATGTGATGTCGGCAATTGTTCATTGTTCATTGCGACTTGGAATGGGTTTCAATCGACATGCTCACCATGTGCTCCGAGGCCCCGGAAAAACCGAGCAATCAGCCCTCTACTCGGAAAAGCCGACCGACCTTCCATTGAAGCAAATGAATTCCCTGAATCTCTGGATCTCACTGAATCTCCAATCTCTCATTCTCGGAGCCTGCTCTCAGATTCGAACTCCTAAAACTCCTATCACCATCAGAAGGCGGTGTGCGCTAACGGATTATCTATCCCGCCGATGTCGTCTTTACATCCATCCCTAGACTAGATGGATATCTCACCACTATCATAGAAGGTCATCATGAACATCGCCGATGATCCACTGCGTCCTCGAGAATTAGCCTCATTCAAGTTTCAGCCCTCTCTCAGTCGACATGGCACGCGTTACTCTCTTCTGCTTGTTCTTCGACTCACTTGCCATACCGCTGCTGTAGCATCAAATCGCTGTTGAATCAGACGCCTTTAATTCCGGAATCTTCTCAAGTTATCGAGATTGTTGAGAAGAACTCGATTGTTCTTGAAGGGTATGCGACTTGGACAATCTCGCCTAATAGAGTATTGAATCATGACTGCGACTTACCTACGACTAAAAAAACGTCGCCTCGCAAAGTTCATATTGGAGAGTCTTGCCCGGGAGTTTGCAGCTTATCAAATGACTATTTTGATGACTGGCCAGGGCTTCAACCGCTAACAAATTCCGCCGGTAATTACCTCGCTGTCTTCGTGCTTGGCTGGTCATATATACTTTCTGCAAGATTGATAGAACTCCGTCGAAGAACAAATGAAGACAAGGTCGTCTATACCGACGAGATGGCACCATGGAAATCAGGCCACGATTCAAATGCTAGCGACTACTTTGAGTTAGATATTGGGGGCGATAGTGTCGCTGAAATGAGATGGTGGGCTGCAATTCTCGCAGGTGGACGTGGCTGGCAGGCTACTCTTCTTCGAGGGACTGAAGCCTAGTTCCCGCCATGGGAATACCATTTGAATGGCAATGATTTCAGGATATGTCATGATACAGAGTTGCCATATTTTCTTGAACCCCCGTCTTCGGCAGTTGCACGAGAGTATCTTTACAACTTTGCCAGATGTCACGATGCTTTCGACCAACTTATCTGTGCACTGGCTGCTACCCTGATGTTGCCAATGTATGGTCGGTTTGGTGCTGCCATTGTTTTGCCTAGGCCTATGCGGAGGCAAGACTCGCGCCAGCAAACGGAAACACTCTTTGCCGATCAAATCCCTACATTCGATGACATTTCTCGGTATATGGCATTTTCGGGTACGTCAGGTCTACTTGCCTCGTGTCTATTTGAAGGACTCTGGGAGCCGGGTATTCCTTGCAATTTGGCTAGTCAATGGCTCGATCCTGCCATGAAGGAAATTACTCCGGCCCTTTTCCAAAGGAAACAGCCCCTTCCTGTTATTTGGGCCCTGTCTGAAAGACGCCCTAATCTAGCTTCGTTGTGGTTAGGTGCCACAATTACAGGCCTTTTGCCCCAAATAATTCTAGTATCTATGTGTTTCATGCCATCAATTTACCTCGAAGGAGTGGCATGGACGCAATCTCCTCAATCCTTTATGGATTCTCCTAACCATCGTCTTGTTAAACCCTATAGAAACGGTCAGAGGGTCACGATAGCTAGAGAGGATGAGTTCCGTCTCTTGTTTTTGACGGACACGCTATCGGAAAAATATACAGTCCCACCACTTTGCCCTTATTCACCATTCGGCGAGGTTGATATCCAGAACACCTCCCTTGAAGTCAGACTTCATCTTGCTTGCAACCACAGGCTAGTATATCGTTCTTGGGAATGGCAATGTCAAAAAAGGGAGACGTTAAGCGATTTTGGAACCCCAACCGATTCGCAATCGCTCAAAAAGAATCTCAAGCATATTTCACTTCTGTCAATCTGGATTGTCACAGGAATTGCTTGCGGAAGCATGTTCAACAAAACTCTTTGGACATCTAGTTTCACTCATACGGTAAGTAGAAGGTTGTCTCACCTATCGTTTACTACATGTCCTAGCTAACATGGGAATTATAGCAACGTAGCAGTTTTACCTTTCTAGGTAGCCTTGCAACATCATGTATTCTACCAAGATCTTTCAAGCTTGTTGCATACAAACATATTTTGAATTTTCGCGCTTGGGCGGCCAGGGCCATATCGATCTTTATCTCGAAGATACGTCCACATGCGATACAGCAGAAGGAAGAAAAGAGTTTGAATGATCGGCTTTCTAGGATTGCTACACGGAACTTGTTCTCATGGACGCTGTTCATCGATGGAATTCGAAGTGAAGAAAAACCACTATGGAAACATGACTGATTGGAAGATTTGATTGAAAGGGATCTTAGTGTTGAATCGAGTGAATGCGAAGCAAAACACCAGAACACTGAGTATATTGAAAAGTGGCTAGAAGATGCCGGTATACGGAGCCAACCTGTTTATCATAGCCAGATTCGTCAACATACAGATGGCGCGACCGAAATTCGGACGGTTGTGGTAGCAATTCCATAAACGCTGGTTTTGCTCTCTCGCCCTCTGACGAGCCGCCTTCTTTGTCCAAATGCTAGAGATCAATGCTCGTGAGTGGATCCAAGTTTTCGTGGGGTCGAGAGTCCACTACTCATGTTTGATCGGAATTGGTCTAACTGTGTATGGGGGTCTTTTCCCGATGGTCCGTTATTGGCATTGAAAAAGCGATGGGACTGGAAAACCGGATCACAGCCGACGACACGAATGCCGCATCTGTCCTCCGAGATAGACCTTGTTAAATCGCTCACTGTGTGCTTGTTAGTCAATCCAAACCCACAAAGGTGGCCCATCATCTACCCCAGGTTGCCGGCGAAAACTTCTGTGTAAGACTAGTCTATTTTAGGAAGGTTTCCCTCAAGAGAAAGTTTCCTATTTAGGACATCTTCTTTACTGGAAAGGTTTCTTTGCTGGTTTCCCTGCCAGGGAAGTTTCTATATTAGGAAAGTTTCTATACCAGGAAAGAAGGACCATACTGTAACGAAGACATCCTCGGCAATCAAGGCATTCCAGAATAATCATACTGCAGAACTTTGTAGATGGGACATTGATAAAGATGGGGGACGACTGTTCGATATGCAAATTAATTCACTCCGACGATCCGAAGAATCACGACAATGAATACAGTGTTGAACTCACGCTTACTCGCTGTTGGGAGCGAGGATACTATGCTCTTATCCCTGGTGGTCGCTGCATTGCTCTACTTCTTGTTACAAAGCCTTATTGGCATCCCAGAATATGAACAGGCCCGTCTTCGAGAATTGTACAGCGTTCCGCAACAACATCTATTTCCAGCAGGGGTGCCTTGCAATTTGCAAAGACGGAGCAGAAACATTTGTGATACTCTCATGTCTCCGGCGGTAAGTTACTATGCGTTTTCTTTTGGGCAAGGGCAACCCTTCATGAGATGAAAGCTGTGACTAACAAGACACCCAGAATGTAAGGGCTGTTGTCTTCTGGGCATCCCAAAGCGGCACTGCGGAGGCTCTGGCATCTCGCTATGCCTCTGAACTTTCGACGGCTTTTCCCTTGGGGGCGATGACTGCCAACCTGGCAGACTACGATCATAAACATATGCCAGACGTACCGTCTCAAGCACTCTTGGTGTTCATCTTGTCGACATTCGGTGACGGTGACCCTCCTGATAACGGCACCGCGCTTCTCGAGTCCCTTCACCAGCTTCGCAAGCAAAGTGCCAACTTGAACAATGTTCGATATCTCATTTTCGGCTTGGGGAATTCCAACTATACCCACTTTAACAAATATGCGCTCGATATCGACGGTATGCTGAAGGGTATGGGTGCTACGAGGCTAGGCCGAGTTGGTCTGGGTAACGATCGTGAAGGCGCCACCGAGGAGGATTTTGTGGCCTGGAAGAATGAGAGCATCCAGCAAGTGGCCAGAACATTGCATCTGCGGCCCGTGGAACGAGAATATTCCCCTCGCATACAAATTCGCCCTTGGCGAGGTGGCAACTGTGACACAAGGCACGGAGTCTCGCCAACCGTTTATTATGGCGAGCCACAGTATGCTCCTCCCACTGCTGATAGGAGTACCACCGTTGTTCTTCCTGTTATACAGGCAAAGCAGCTCATGCTCTCCAAAGAGGCCATTGGCGAGTCTGAGAGTTCACGGGAATGCGTTCATCTGGAATTCAGCCTTGAAGACCACCCCTCCATCACCTACGAGACAGGAGACTACCTCTGTATTTGGCCGGTTAATCCGGAACAGGAAGTCTCGGCGCTGCTGAAAGTTTTGGGCGTTTGGAACACGCGCAAGAATGTTATCGATATCGTACCGGCGGACGATACCTCGAGCTCGAACATTCGAATCCCAACCCCTACGACCATGGAGAGTCTGTTCCGTTACTTCCTTGACATATGCGGACCTGTGTCTAGGGAACTCGTCCGTGGTATTGCTGAATTAACCTCGGATGGTGATTTCAAACGTCGACTCGAGGCACTCACAAGGGATCGCGATGCCTTTTACGAAGAGGTTACGTTGAAGAAGTTGACTCTCGCTGCAGTCTTACAAGCGGCCACGACGGTACGAGATGAAAATGGATCGGCAATCAACGTAGCTGTGTCGTACGTCCTAGAGAATCTAAAAAAGCTACAGCCTCGCAGCTATTCCATCTCGTCGTCCGCCGCTGTGGACCCCCGTATTGCGGCCATCACAGCACTCGCAGTCAGTGGCCCTCCTCGTCCTCCTCGCGAGACATCGTCGTGTCCTTCTCATCGCTTCCGTGGGTTAGCCAGCAATTATTTGTTGCAGCTTCAAAAAGAATACAACCGCAGCTATTCAAGGTCGCAGCAGCCAACAAACTACTACTACTCAACTGCAGGGCCCCGTGGTCTATTGGAGGGAGGGAAGGTTTTCGCCTATATCCGCCGAAGTAACTTCAAACTGCCACCAGACCCATCAACTCCGATCATCATGATCGGCTCCGGAACTGGCGTTTCGCCTTTCCGTGCTTTTGTTCAGGAGCGCATGAAACTCAAGAATCAAGGATGCGAAGTTGGGAAAACAGTACTGCTGGTCGGTCACCGAGCTCCAGACCAAGACTACTACTATCAGGATCTGTGGCAAGAGGCGAGCAAGGCTCTAGGGAAGAGGTTTGAAGTGTACACGGCTTTTTCACGAGTCGATACACAACCGCGCCAATACGTTCAAGATTTGTTGGCGACCAAGTCCGACCTGGTTCTCGACATATTGGCTGCTAATCAACCAAAAGGTGGAGTTATGTACATTTGTGGGTCGTCGCTCATGGCAAATGGAGTGAAGAAGTCTCTTGTGGAAATCTGCTCTCAAGGCCATCTGCAGTCGGTTGCTGAAACTGCCGAAAAGTGGGTTGGAGAACTTAGTCGCCTCAGGCGTTTGCAAGAGGATTCTTGGGGATAGGGTCCGGTGATGGATGGTTTAGATCCCATGTGCGTCTCAGATTCTGTTCCAGAGCATGATTTGCCCAGGCATTTTCTTGCTTGCAAAGTCTCAGAAGCTCCAGCAGCTCCATTCTCTCCGCAGGGTCATGAATCCATCTGTGGCCTGTACAAGTTAGCTAGGATTGAATGAATATAGGAGTAGATTTCCGAACCGAGGGTGATAGCAAGGCACGCAATGACCTTTCCAATTGGACATGTGTTAAATCGAGCTGCTCCACAAAGAACACGGACGTGGTCTTGGACCTCACTCTGCAATAATTTTGGTCAGAATGCTACTTTGAATCGATGATGTGAAACAGCTTTCCAGTAGCCACATAGTCATACCTCCATCTCTTTATGATGATCAATGGCCTGTGGACCAAGTGTCAAGCGACTCGGATTGTACATGGCAAGGAGGAGTTGTGAAAGCCTGAAATGTACATAACCCGTCACTAGATAAAAGTAAGCCCATACATCAAACGAGCAACAGACCCACTTCCACACTTACAACAGGCGTTCAAAGCGAATCTTATTTCAGGCAATATTCTGCCAGTCTTCAAATCAGAATCTGCGAAGAATACGGGTTGAAACGCTGGCCAAGATAGCTCTGACCATTGTGTCAACATTCGTTGCAGATCCTCGAAGTGTTGCTTGCGAGACTGTGCTTCGTCATTTCCAAAACAAAAGTCGGCGGTCTCTCCTGCTAGCTTCTGCGATCGCTTTGTCCACGTATAGATGTCGTCCGAGTCTCCAGGCTCCCAGAGATGGGTCACATCAAGGCTGGTACGAGTTGGCTTCTGCTGAGAAATAGAGTGGAAAACATCCTGCCTCTGGTGAACCCAGAATGCTGACTTGGCCAATTTGGTCACTGGTTGTTGCTTATCACTTGCTATAGTGGCAGCGAAGACGTGGCCAGCCAAGAGATGTGACTCAGCGTCCTGTCCATCTTGTCGGGCTATCAATAAGGAATAAGTAAAAATCGCGTTTGATACGGGCCGGAAGCAGATTAGGTCGATTCGGACGGCTACCTTTGGACTCTTCATACAAGCGTAGAATTACGACTGATGCAAGCCCGGCCCCATCGGAAAGTCGGACCGGGTCATGCATTAGCGCTAAAAGGATGTCAATGGCCTTTCGGTGGAACAAGTCGGCTCTTCCATCGTTCTGGCCGGTTGCTTTGCAGTGGTAGAAAGATGACACTGCTAAGATAGAGTAACATAGAACAGGACAGCTGGGGGCAATCCGAAGAACTTCAAGTGTGAAATCCGAGTCCGTGTGATCAAACCTGCATCAATCATTGCCGCTATGGTCAACCCAACGTAAGCGCTCGACATGGGATTATCTGATAGCAACCCACCATGGACGTCCTATAGATTCTCCGAAATATTGCATGAGATACGCATCCTCAGAGGTAAGCAGTAGTGGTGAGGATGTTGACAGCTCGTTTCCAATACGCTGTTCTCCGGCCTGCGGGCTCGTCCCAGGGCTGATGCTGTGGAACCTATCTTGATGGATTACGTTATCCGCGGGGAGAGACTCGACGGGAGTCTGGGGTTGTGAGGACCATTGGGGCGTCTCCGATCGGTCCGACCGGGTTAACTGCTGAGAAGGTTCTAAAGGGGGACGGGCATCTTGGTCTAGCCTTGGGCTAGGCAGGGTGCGGGACTGGGAGTCAGGGGGCGACAAAGGTGTGACTGGAGGGACCCAGTTTCTACGAGTTGAGAAACGCACGTTGAAGCGCCGAGTACAGGGACGACCGGCTGTACGGCATCGCCGACACGAAGGGGTTGCCCGGTCGCCTGAGCAATGTGCAAGTCCGAATTAGAAAGTGCCATCCAGTCGAGGAACTGGTCAGTTGTGACTAACAAGAAATATGTCGTATGCGGCAGGCTTGACAGACAGAGCTCTGATCCTTAGGTGAAACCATGCTCTCAGACAAGTAAGCAGGGACTGATTGGATCGAATAGCATCAACGATGGGAAGCTAAAGGCCCGGGGGAGGGGAGGGGCAAGGCGACGGAGACACTTAAAACTTCCCCAACTCAGTAGGTGGAAGACTCCAGTATGGATTAGCGAGATATAGTGCCGATCTCAGAATGGGAGATTGGGGATACTACTCCGTAGTAGTATGTGGAAAAGATTCCACGGGTAGCTCCACGGCCTCCACCTTTCCTTAGCTCAGAAGGGAAAGTTGCCTATTTAGTACTAGTACTTGGCGATGTCCGAGCCTCTGCATCACTTTGGGATAGAAAAGTTGCCTTTTCGAGCGGGATTGTCACCAGCTGCCGATTCCACGATGATACGAACTCCCAAAGAACAGAAGTCAGATGATGATTGATTTGCTGCATATATAGCCTCACTACCACCCGTCGTCATCTGGAAAACAAATATACCTCGCCCACCACACTGAAACCGACTGGCATCATGTTGTACATCACGTTCGTCGCAGTAACTGTTGTCTTATGTCCTGTGGCGTATTTCGGCTTCTGCTTCATCGTATACTTATACGATGCAAAAGCCCTTCGTCGATTCCAAAACTTATCGTTCCTTTCTGGCCTGAGTGATATACAATGGGTATGGGAGTCGATTCGCGGTCGGCGATATAAGACTCTTCATATGGCTCATCAAAATGCGACAATTGTTCGTGTTGCTCCGAACGTTCTTTCCTTTAATCACCCAAAAGCTGCTACCGCCATTTACGGACACGGCACCCCAACCACCAAATCGCCTTTCTACGACGCTGGTCATGGTCATTTCAAGAATGTAGCCGACACGCGAGACAAAGAAGAACATTCCCGGAAGCGACGACTTCTTGCCACCGGTTATGCTCTTACCACACTCCTTCGGTGGGAAGACAAAGTCGCGAGCCGTATCAATGCTCTCTTGAACCAGTACGATAAGTTCTGTCTCCGGCTAGATGTCGCGAGAAGGGCAGATGCTATTCCAGTGGATCATCGACGGTGGATGGACATTTTCACCATTGATGCGATACACGATATTGGCCTCAGTGCGAACCTCCGCCTAATAGAGAAAGGCGATGATTTAATCGAGGTCCAAAACTCGCGCGGCCAGTCCTACCAGTGTCAATTCCGCAAGTCGCTGTGGGGGTGAGTTGCTCGTCCCTTTAAGTTTCTTTTCCCCTAGGGCGACCCATTTACTAACATGTGTGCTAGGAACTTGCGGATTCATGCCTCATTTGCCTGGGCTCCGCGGTGGTACGGCTTGCTTAAAAGACTCACATGGTGGGATTCGCGATGGCAAGACAACGTGGCCTTCAATGATATCGTCGCCACTGCATGCAAGCACCGGATACAGCGCCATTTAGCAGGAGAGAAACTAGATGACTTTTTCTCCTTTCTTCTTGGAGACAAGAATGGCGTACCGAACATGCTGATGCTAGGGGAAATGACAGTGGAGTGTTCTGTTATGCTGAATGCTGGGAGTGAGACCACCGGCATAGCTCTTAGCAACCTCCTTTACTTACTCATTGTCAACCCAAATGCTCTCGAGCGACTGCGGCGAGAAGTAGACGAGGCACTGGACGGAATCGAAGATACGAAAGTCGCGCCCTTCGCCAGAATTCGTTACCTGCCGTATCTGAAAGCGTGCATTGACGAGGGGTTACGACTTCTGCCACCCAGCGCCACCACAACTCCACGATACACGCCACCGTCGGGTCAGGACATCATGGGCTACTGGATTCCGGGTAATACTGAGGTGCTTTGTCCTACCTACAGCCTCCAAAGAAATCCAGAGATATTTTCGAATCCCGATGTCTTTGAACCAGAGCGGTGGTTGAGTGACAACGCTAAAGATCTGCACACATCGTTTCTCCCCTTCAGTGCAGGGCCAAGGGCTTGCATTGGCAGAAACATCACGTACATGGAGCAACAAATGTTGATTGCATCTCTGGTGCATCGCTATACGTTTGAGTTGATTGCTCCTGATTTCAAGCCAGCGTATGAAGAGGCCGTTACGTGCTCGCCGGGTCCTATACCGATCTATCTTTTTAGACGAGATGAAACTTAGAAACTCTTACGTAGATGGCGAATCAATACATTGAATCCAAATTGTTCTGGCATCTCATGATTTTCATCGTATAGCGTGATCTTTGGGGTGTTGATATTATGAGTTTGGATATATAGAGCCTTTTGTGACAACCACCTTTTTGTTAGAAATTCTAAATACTACCTATATTGATTTAAATAATATGCCCAGACAGAATGTCAAGATACCGAAAAATTCCCAGAAAAGTAGTTGTTCCTCGTATATAAAATGGTAACATCCAGTGCTTTCACCACTAAACGACAAAAAGGCATCAACCAAATACAATCCGAAAATAAAAACGAAGTCAAAAACAAGACAATCAAAGACCCCAAAGGTGAAGCCATAACTCGGTAGCCGTCCACACCGCGCATCTCTCATGAAACCAACTAAGCCCCCTCCTATATCTATAAACCGCAGTCTGATTCTCTCACGAAGAGAGTAATTCCATAGTTCACCCAAGCAATGAGCAGACTGTGAAATTGTCAAGCCAAAAGAATATCCAGACCCGCCCTCGACGTATCCTCTTTCCAATATCCTCGCATATAACAGGATCACGGATTCGGATTCTGCGGCTTATTCATCTCGCTATCCATGCGTCCACAGCTCGTATTACCACGACCATCACCGTATTTCGCATACGCCCGAGCGACCCTCGGATCGACATAAGAATTCGAAGTAGACGAGCTGCGACTCAGTGAGCCCGGGGATGACGGGGCTGGGGATCCCGAGGATCCCGGTGTTTCTGCAGATGCAGCCGCCGTTGCTCGGGCTGCGGCAACTGCGGCTGCAGCTGCGGGATGGCAGAGCGGGCAGGGGGAGACGTTCAAGCCACAACCGTTGCAGCTGCGGCAGATTGTTTCTCTGGGAATTGTGTTAGGGTTGGGATGGAGATGTAAAGGGTGTTTTGTATATACCTCGGGGCATTCCCTGCACAACCTTTGCATGTGACTACCTTCCGTCCTCCAACACATGATCTGTGATCCGGATCGAGGTTGTACATGAAGTGGGTGGAAGTGGCCATTGTAATGGATGTAGAGATAGAAGGGAATATTGGAAGGTAAAGAGTGTAGATGCGGATAGTGAAGTATAGTCAAGATCCACCTGATATAAATTGCAGATGGCTTTGTGGTATTCTTCCCGTTGGTGCTTTCTTTCTCTCTCAATGGAAAGCCTGTCAATAAAGAATAGCCAGTAATTGTGAGCCCTGAAAGTGTTGTTGGGAAAGGAAGACAGTAGTTATAGGCTAAGTCCAAAGCCAGAAATGACCGAGAAACAACGGATATCTTATACAAGAAGAAATTAATCAGTGCCACCAACGAACTTCCCGAGAGTTTCCAAGTGTCACATATTCGATATGCACGACGGAGCGTGGAATCGATGACAGGAATCAGGATTGAGTCCACCAGAATGATCAGCAGGCCAAAGCGAGAGACGGTGATAGGACAATTCGCCAGGTACATGATGTACGTGGATATTCCATTTACACGCATGGGGCCATTCCACTCAAATCCTCCAGTTATTCTTGAATAAAAAGCAAAAAAATATGATCCAACATGAGAGGGGAACGACACAGAAACCGTTCTGGACTTAGTTGAGTTGTCAAACCCCGCTGCCTACGTGCTTCTGTCGAGCTAAGGTAGCCAGCTGCGGAAATACAGGGTTCATGAAACAGGACCTGGTGGGGGATTGGCGTTTCTCAGTCCACACGACCGGGCCTACGTCGTTCATACGTTTTGCAAAGGGTTCATTCGATGGTCATTCTGTGGGAGGGTTTTTAGCAGAAAACATGTAGTGAAACCAAGATATCGCCAAATTGGCAACTCAACCCTTGATCTATCGTCGGGCAGACCGTCGTTCATGCGCGGAAAAGATGTCCTGGCTCCTAGGAGCATGACTGCCACCTCGTGATACAAATCTTGACCGCTCAAACTATATAATTATCCTCCCGAGTTGGAAGGTTGATATGGCCACGAGTATGGGATGTGAAATGCCAACCACGGATAGTTGCATTGGGCCATGCGATCTTTGGGATGATGTATAGATGATAGGGGCCATGGATAGATTGTCGATGATTTCTTCCCGTGGACCTTTTGGTCAGCTCTCGTATTCCCCTTGTGGGATGAGCTTTCTATCCCAACAAATCAAGTAAAGTACGGAATACCATGCATGGAAGTTGGATCAGACGGTCAGCAGCCCATATACCGGATTCGGAATAGGATTCAAGGACTTCTATGGAGTACGTTCTTAAGACGTAGCTGTCGTAAGCAGCAAAAGGGAAAAGGCACGGTGACAATCTCGTGCAAGGATCAACCCGATGCAATGATCTTCATAATCCATATCCCATTGAGAAGCCATGGTTGTAAGCACAATCTCCGATAACTGTAGGGCCGACACAAACAAATCCGGAAAAAGGAAAGAAAAAAAGAAAAATAACTGAAGCTGTAAAATGAGGTGAAAAGAGAGTCCTGTGAGAGGTGTGAGCCACCAATAAGGAACAAGAAGAAGAACTCGAAATTGGAGTCACAGCCAATCGAAGTTCACAGACAGCCCTAAGCCGGAAGCGTGGATGTGACACTTAGCCTCAAGCAGGTAACCGTAGAGGGGCTGCAAGGACAGGGGCACCGAAAAAGCCCAGAAACCCCCTTTAACATTTCCAGTCAACATTGCAAGGATTCCTTGCAGCCGTTTGACTTCACGTCGTCATTCTGAACGGACCTAAAGCGCTTCTGCAGATTGGTCACATGCAGAGTGAGTCCTGTGGAAATGACACACATCCATGAAAACCTCGAATCCACTCATCTCGGAGTTTTGTATGCAGTCTGCCACCGGCTAAAAGCTCAATGTAACCTAAAAATGAGCTCAGATAGAACCAACGGGTATGCGCGTCATTAGGCGAGCCGCGAGATACCAAAAATTTCAGCCTCTGGGTGATCGTACTGTATGGAAGAGAGCCGGAAAAAAGCCCAGCTTCAAACCTCCATGGGCTTGTTCAACCGGTTCGCTGTTGGGGAGGACACCTGCAGCCAGCCACTTCCAATCACACGCTAGCCCAGGATTCGAAGTCCAAATTTGAAGTCGGGCTGGAGTCAAGGTGCATGGGCGGCAAGTTGCATCAACGGAGAAGTTTCCATCGATGTCTCAAAGGAGCTATCTGAGACTTCCGGAGGTTGGTTGTCCTGGAACCAGAATGGTTACAAATCAGCTTTCGGCAATTAGTGTCACGATTAAAGCCCGAGGATGCCGGGGGCGAGGAAAGGAAATAAAAAGAAATTATGAAAGTCGCACGTAAAGGGAAAAAGAGCGACTTGGTTGAAGTCAGCTAATATGAACCTGTAGGATACCTGCAGCCCAGTTCGCATTGTTGCTGCAAGAGGTGAGTCTCGGTCACCTTTTCTTCCATGGCGTACGGAAATCATGCCAGGCAAATGCTGACCTTCGAAAGTGAAATGATATCACGGTGCATTTCCAAATGAGGCCACCCAAGACTACCCGAAACTGGTACCTGGCAGGCACTGAAATGCTATAGCCTAAAGACCAGGTGGCTCATAGGTTTACAGATTACACGATGCGCAGTCATGAAATAAAGGATTGTCATTCTCCATTACGATCTGCATAGCTATCACATGGGAAAGAATAAGGTGCTACGTGGCATTCCATCTTAAAGAGTCGTGTGTGTAGCCACGGTAAAAGGGGAAAATAAAGAAATAGGGCAGAAACAAATTATCCAGCCAATGAACGCCTTCGTGGCTGCCACGGCCACAACGCAGTGATCGGGTGAGGATCTTGCGTGCTTGCTCATGGAGCCACGGCATAAAAACAGCAAAGGGGGAGAGGGGGGAAACAAATAAGCACCATGATCCATCCTTCCACGTAAAGCCAGGACGCCTGGGTAATTCCGAAAACATCAAATCGTTGGAATCACGCCGAAACTCATGTGTCGGCGTTAAATCATAAGATATCAAAGGGCAGAGAGCAGAGAGCAAAAGAAACCGAAATAAGGGATGCCGATCACTGGAAGTATTCATTGGGCAAGGATGCTAGCACAGCAATAGTTCCCAGGCCACCCAGCAGAGCGCTGATGACAGCCGTGGTGGCGTGGCTTGCCAAGGACTTTGAGGTTGAGTGGTTAGACTTGATTCGCTTTGCCGGACGCTCATTCTCAGCAAATGCAGAGACATTCTCAGCAAGTGCGGAGCTGATCGCATCCTTGGCTTCAGAGGAAATTGTGTTGAGGTCGAGATCCGACTGGCTGGTTGGCTCTACAGGCAATCGCTGAGCATCTTGAGAAATACTGGCTTCAAGAGCCGATGATTCCATCTCTGTTGCAGTACGCTTCAAATGTGGTTTTCTAAATGTTGCCAGGCAGGCATCTTCCGCGGGATAGCCGGTCGAGAATGGTCCATCGTGATAGGGATGTTTGAATTCATGGGACAAGGACGGTACCCCAACAAAGCTCTCGATCTTCCGTTGCATTGGTGGGTATTTGTTCTGACATGAACTTGGCAGCTCACCGGAAACAGTGTGTGTCGGGAACCGAGCACCTGGGTTTGTCATACCAGGAGCAGCTTGTCCCATCAATGGTTTGCTCTCGATACGTGCGGGGTTCAGTGACTGGCCCTCAAACGGCTTTGCAGATACATGCTCGGGCACTTCGACAGCATCAGTGTTGTTGGCACGTTCAAGTTTCTTCACAAGCTCCGGACCAAGCAAGGAACGGATATCAGGATTTTGTGGAATATGGTGTTCAAGGCACCCATTGTCAGAGCAATCAGAGTCGTTTTCGGATTCATCACAGATCTCGCCATCTTCTTCAAAGTCCTCGGCATAATCTTCCTCAAAGTCTTCTTCCTCGAGGTCGTCCGACATTTCACAGCCGTCTCCGTGAATCGAGTCGCTGTCGTACATGAGACATGGATATCTGGGGTAGCTCTCCGAGGAATCACTAAGAGCATCCGACTTAGTTGTGTATTCCTCGTATTCTTGAGCTTCTTCGTCTGAATCAACCGACTGGTCATCAGAGAGCCAGTTTTCATCGAAATTCGGATCCCAGTAAGGAGCCACATCGCACCATCGATCTCCGATCATTCGGGGCTCCCAGGCCCTCACGATCCAGCACTTGTGACAGTCTTCAACCTCGGTCTCAGTCTCCAGCTCGCGCTTCAGGTCTTCGCTGAGAAGCTCCAGTGGCTTTTCAACGATCCACCACCGATTGCTCACCCGCTCGCCGCCTTCATCTTCGTTGATGACCCAATATCTTCGCTTATCGACTGACCAGTACCGAAGAAGGTTGCCGGGCATACGATGGAACGATGTGTCTGAGTCCTCGGAGTCAGGCTCCCAGTAGACTTCTGTCCCAACGCAAGGTCGGAAGCTAGGGGTATCATCTACCCAGTACGAATCTTGGGAAATAGAACAACGGCGCGCCGCGTGAATGATGTGCCTGTCGTGGTCAACGTCCGGTATGTTGTTGGATTCACCCCAAGCCATGTCTGCCAGGCGCATGAACATAGGTCGCATCATGGTCCAATCGCTGTAACGAATTTCAGGTACTTGCTGGTAACAGATTGCAGGGAGGCTATCTTCATGTGCTTGTTGTTCAGATGCAATTTCAGCAGAGGCCGACTCAGCGAGATATATCTTGGCATCTGAGACCAGTTTGGCGGGAGATGGGTTGGTGTCGGAGACCGGTTTGGTATCAGACAGTTGGCCAAGAAGACCCGGGACCAGTGGGGTAGGGTCGGGCACAATCTTGGAGATAGGCTCCTTGGTAGCAAACACAGTTCCCCAAAAGGAGTTGCACCCGTCCTTTGAATGTTCGTCGCTCTGGACACTCTGGACACTCGAGGCAGGAGAAACTAGAGATGTATTCATAGGCTGCAGAACAGTAGTTTCCCAAGATCGAGCAACGGACTCCTTAGAAGAGTCATCACTGGGTAGGTCGGTGTCCTCCATATCGCTATCGTCTTCGGGGACAGAGAAACTGTTGGTTGACGGACTTGGATCCGGTTTGATAGAAATACTATCGTCTGGAATGACCACATGCTGGGGTTTGAGCCACTCAACCTTGCAGCTGACTTCGATGGGCTCAAAAACTTCTGTACTCGATTAGTTCCAGTGCTATTAGACTTAGATTGCTAACTTGCCTTGGCCACGGTCAACATCGACACCGAATCGGATGATGTCTCCGTTGCGCAGCGGGGTATTCACGTCTGTCACCAGCTTTCCACCATTCAGGAAAGTCCCGTGTGTTGAGCCACAGTCGGTGATGAAAACCATCTACAAGGGAGGTCAGCGGGGTGATCTGGTCAGAATTGGGGGCTCAACACAACATTTTGGTTTGGTAGTATCTTAAGCAAAGCATGGTCACGAGACATGACCTGAGACTCAAACCAAGCGTTCTCTGCTGTAGGATTGCGGTTTCGATTTTCACGCTTTGAGGCACGCCCGATAGGCACGGTCTTATCATTGTCGGTGATGGTAAGGGTACGCAGAGGGTAGAGGTCTTCGAAGAGGGGGACAAGCGTCACGGTGGCTGTGAATTAGACATGTCAGTTGCAAGTAAGGTGGCAATTAGGGCATCCAAGTACTTACCGCTTGGGTCCGACATGGTGAAAGATAGATGAACGATGGTAGGATTTGAAAGGCAGGAATAGGATGCTGTTTGTTTCTAGATAATGGTTAGACTGAGAGATAGAATTCCATATATGATAAGAGCGACCATGACAGCAAGGTAGAGTGAGTCACAGAGTATCGGAAGATGAAGGGGGGTGCAGAAGGTTAAGGGAGTTGGAGACAAAGGCAGCTTACCCGGGTGGTTCCAGGCTGCAACACGATCACATGGACCAGTTGAGACAGCCAGGAGATATCAGGTGTATTGCAGAAAAGTAGATTGCAAGTAGAGCGACTAGGAGCAGCGAATATAAAGAGTTGTTCAAAGCACAGAAGGTGAGGAAGGATAAGGGAAGGAAGAGGGGTAGGTTCGTGAATCAGGTAGTAGTTAGGTTCACCGCTGACAACGCGGACAACGCGGGCCTTGAGGAGTAGCGACTCCCTTTGGAATGGGACTCAACTTGGTTCTCAGTTACTGGTAAGTCTATTCAAATTCGAAGAAAGTCAGGATTCAACACGAAACTAAGAAGTAAGGTATCCGGAAGCTCAGGAACAATGAGGTATGTATGAGAAGTGATAGTATAAGATAAGCGAATGACGCCGTTGGACTTATTTCGATGCCTCGGCTCGACAACACTTCCCTATTGGACACAGACTGGCTAACTAAAGAAAGTATATCTCAACCTACGTACTGAGACTTTTCGCTATTTAGTTACTTCCTTTTTCGTTGAGACACAGAAGAACAACAGAGTCCGGAGATGCCGATAAGGGGTGGGGTCAGCTGATGTGGAGACACACGTCATGGTCATCCGCACACTAGGGGGAACTATGTATACGATGCAAACCATGTAAGGAGGATTTCAGAGTCAGTGAGAGCTTTTGAAGTGTATTGTAGGTCTGATGTTAATGAGCACTATCATTTTCCTCTATGGTACACAAATTACTACATGGTCAGACCCCAATGCACTTCCCCGGGCTCGGTCTGCCGTCCATCGGCCTATCTCATCCCGAGTCTTATCTCAGACAGACCAAGTATCAAAACAAAAAGAAACGAAAGAAGGCGGACGGGGAATATGTCAACCGATAGTAAATACATGCGGGGAGAATAGTGAACCGGGGATCCAAAGAAAAAGGCTTAGACAGGAATACCCAAACCGGGGCAAAGAAAGACGCGAAGAAACGAAGAGTGAGGAGGGTCCGCTGACTTGCTTACATTCCAGGAGCACCACCGTTCACGGCACCCATGGAGTTCAGGCGGGCAGCGAGCTGGGGGTACTTCTCCTGAACCTCCAACTGGGTGCGGGTGGCCTCAGCGTAGGAGATGGCGTTGATGATCTCGGCCTCGGTGCGAGCCAGCTCAGCAGCGCGCTCGAAGTACTTGAGAGCCTGGGAGACCTTACCCTGCTGGAGGAGAAGCTGGGCCATGGTTCCGACAGCAATGTCGCACTCGGGATCAATGATGAGAGCCTTCTGGCAGAGGTTCTCGGCCTCCTGGAAGTCGTGCTTCCACTGGAACAAAGCAAGAGCCTTGTTGATCAGGGGCAGGACGTTGATACCCATGGGCTTGCTCTGCGTCTCCATCTCAACAGCCTTGTCAAACTTCTCAATGGCCTCGGAGTAGTTCTGCTGGTCAAGCAGAAGCTCGCCGTAGTAGTTGTATACATCAGGGACTTCCTCGAAGTTCTTTACTGTGCGGCGGAAAGTGGCCATCGCCGAGGCGACGGAGCCCATCTTGTATTGTGTGACACCGAGCTGGATGTGAGAGTAAATGAACGAACGGTCGAGGTCGATCGACTTCTGGTAGTCCTTGGCGGCTTCGGCGAGCTCGGTCAGGATGAAGTGTAGCTGGGCACGGTGGTAGTAGATATCGGGGTCGTCCTTGTTGTGAGTAATGGCAAGCTCAAAGTCATCGGCCGCAGCGTCCTTGTTACCAAGCTCCAGGTGCAAGCTGGCGCGCTTGATGTAGCTCTGGACCAAGGAAGGTGACAGCTCGACACTCTTGTCCAGGTCGGCCAAAGCGCCGGTGGCGTTACCGCCGAGGTAGGTGAAGGTGGCGCGCATGTTCAGAGCCAATCCTTCAAATTCGTCGAGCTCGCCGAGCTCAAGTGCCTTCTCGAAAGCGGCGGCAGCCTCTTCGTAGCCATCGGCAGTCTTCTTGCCCATAGCGACAAGACCCTTGCGCAGCTGGCCCTTACCGGACTCCTCGCTCAACTCAATCGACTCATCCAATCCCTCGGGCAAGGGCTGGGGACGGAAGCTCTGGAGGTAGTTGGAGACAAAAGTAGCACTAGGCAACTTCTTAGTGCGCGCCTCCAGAATGGCCTGGCTCTTCTTCTCGGCAACCTTCTTCAGCAAGCGTTCAAGCGAGTTGCGGCTCACGTCGTTGGAGAAGGCATCAATGATACAGCTGGCTGTGAAGTCGAGGAGAGCCTCACTGTACTTTTCAAGGTGCTCATACGCAATGGCTCTTCGGTTGAGGGCCTTAATGTATTCGCTGTCCATGGCGAGAGCGGCGCTGGTGTCCTCGACGACCTTCTCCCAGTTGGACTGGACATTGTAGCATGCGGCGCGGTTGGAGTAGAAGACGGGGTCGGGCTTGCAGATAATAGCCTTGCCGTACAATTCAATCGCGCTGGGGTAATCCTTGATTCCGTAGGCCTTGTTACCGGCAGCCTTGAGCTTGGCCGCATACGCGTTCCGGGTCTTGACTTGTCAGAGAAAGTGTGGGAAAGAATATGGCTTAACATACCTCTTCAGACAGCTCTCCAATAGTGGCCTCATCGACTTCGGGAAGCTCCTCGACAGGCTCCTCTGCCTTTTTGACAGACTCTGGAATCTGGTCAGTCATACGACCACCGTGTTTGAACAAGAACACCTACCATCCTGCACGGATGCAGCCTTTTGCTCCTCCGCCTTTTTCTTTTCCTTTCGTCGCTGATTTTTGCTCTTCTTGGGTGCTGAGGGAGTGGGTTTGCGGGGATCGTTCAGGTAATAGACAACACCCGCTCCGGTCACGACAACGGCAACACCGGCAATGGTGTAAACAACGGCCTTGTTCTCTGAGACCCAGCTGGTGATGCGATCCCAGACTGATGCCGATGATGACTCAGTCAGCTTTGATGTATCGAGCACCACATTTTGGGCGGGCGTAGGTAGCGGCAGTTCGTTCGACATGATGTGCAAAGCAAAGGGACCGACGCGACTAGTTCTAAATGTGGGCAGATGTCAGTACTCAATCCAATGTTTGGCGCAATTAGACTGAGATGGAAGACAAAGGGGTCACTTACCAGACCTCGACAGTAGGAGTTAGAGATGGGGAAGTTCGGGAATGATGAAGCTCAGAGGAAAAGTCAAGGGTTCCGCTGACCGGGTCGGCCAATCACGCGCACTGCGCCGGTAACACTCCACAAAACATATCCGGATTAAACAGAGTCGGCTCATCAGGTTTCTTATCTCTTATACTCTTCCCTTTTTGTCCTTCGAATTGCATCCGAAGTAACATCTGTGAATTCATTTCCTATTTGGCAACACTGACCTGGCGACCACAGTAACGACGTTACGCCATTGACTGTCGCAAAAATGACCGAGAACTCCTCAAGCCCAGAATCATTCGAGATCTTTTCTTCCCTTCGCTTTGACCCAAGCCTTCCAGACGCAGCCTGTCGCCATGCATCGAGCTATCCCGATCCTCAAAAATCCCCCTACTACCTCCTCGCCTATCACCAAGACCGGCTCACAGCCGCAGCGGCTCATTTCCAATGGGACGAGGCTCTAAACTGGCTGCAGCAAGACCTGCAAGACTTCGAGGCGTTTCTCGACGCGTCAATTTCGGACCTAAGCAAGGCGTGGAGACTCCGAATTGTAGTGAACAGTAAGGGGAAGGCGAGAGTTGAGACGAACCCAACAGCGAGCATTGATCTAATGAGTTTGTTCATTCCCTCTCTACATACCCACCCAAGCGAACCAATATGGCACGTCCATGTCGATACGCAATCAACAACTCCTTCAGGTTTCACCACACATAAAACCACCGCGCGGGATGACTACACGTCTGCGCGCCAGAGGGCGGGAATTAATTCCCCGACAGACCTTGCCGAAGTACTGGTTGTGAACCCGGATGGCGAGGTTATGGAAGGCAGCATCACTACGCCGTACTTCTTGCGGGACCATATGTGGATCACGCCTCCGCTCAGCAGTGGGGGCAATGCAGGTACAACACGGAGGTATGCGTTATCTCAGGGTTTCTGTTTAGAACACACCATTTCCCGAGATGAGCTTGTGGATGGAGAGGAGTGTTGGTTGAGCAACGGCGTAAGGGGGTTCATCCGAGGGGTCATAGTCAAATAAGAATTTCCCATACTTAGTATATCTTCGATAGGTATACTCCGTATATGTGGACGAGTCGATACTTGAATGGTATTGATAAATTGATCAAAAGGCTATGAAATCATCCGTATTTTTGAACATGATTGCTCCAGAAAATGCTCCATCACAGGTCTATTTCTTAGCCTTCTCAATCACCACTGGGTTGGGATTCCCCTTCCACTCCAAGGGACGAGGACGCATGTACTCGGCCATAATCTCGTCCGTAACCTGTGCTCTGCGCTCCTGGAACCCTTGAACATACTTCTGAAGCTCAGCGATACACTTCTGCTTGATCTCGCCGGTCATCATCTTGCCACCCTCGTAATCGGCACGGATGCGCTCCAGCTCCTCGTCGTCCTCGAGGAAGAATGTCAAGTACTGGAATGGGATATCGTTTTTGGTGTTGCCGCCCAGCTCGCGCTGCAACTCCGCGGTGTCCTGACCACCTGAGAAAGCGTGCTTGTTGATCTTGTTCTTGATCTTGTTAGGCGTGTCGCTCATGAAAATGGCGGAACTGTCGACACTGGCGGACATCTTAGATCCAGGTCCCTGAAGGGCGGGAAGGAAGATAGAGTGAATGAGAGAGGGCTTCTTGTACTTCATCTTCTCTGCGTGTTCGCGACATTGGCGGAAGTAGGGGTCCTGGTCAATGGCGCATGGAATCAAACAAGGAATCGATGCCACCTTCTTCGTCTCGGTGCCGAAGATGTGGGGGAAACTGGTAGAGAAGGCGGCGGCGGACTGGGTGGCACAGAAGTGGAACTCGCCAATGTTGTTGCTGTCGTTAAACCCAAATGTGCCCTTGACCTGGTTGATTGTAATTCTCTTGGCCATGCGGCACATGTTCTCGTAGAAAGCACCACCAATAAATTCGAAATCACTGAAGATAAAGGTCTTTTTCATATCGAATCCAACAGCAATGATATCCTTGGCGTTTGCTTTTGTGTATCTCTTGGAGTCCTCAATCTCGATCTTCTGGGAGTGCATAAACTTCTCGTCGTCGGTCATCATGATAACGAGGGGAACATCGAAGACGTCCTGGAGCCATCTACATTTGGATTAGTTCTAGTAATGTCCCGGTGATCGAGACTAAACATACTTGGTGAACTCGAACGGCACAGTGTGTCCGACGTGCATGCTATCACTACTCGGCCCACGGCCAGTGTAGAGGAAGAATGGCTCGCCATTCTCATGCTTATCCAAAATCTTCGACAGATCACGGTGACTGAACACAATACTCCGGCGCATGAAACGGTGTGGCCGGTGGCCAGTCACTTTCTCGAAGCGCTCCAATAGAGCTGCATTGATGGGTGTGGCTCCAAACTCCCTCGTGAGCTTCTCGTAATCGACCGGCAACAGCTTGCCGGATTCATCGACCCCACCGGAGACATCGAAGGGCGTAACGATCTGGCCAACGGCCTTGGTCTCTGGGGTTTTCTCGTCGATGCTCAAGGAGTTGAGCGCCGGAGGCTGGATTGCTTCGTTGGCCATAGTTACTTCTTCGTCTGGTACAAATTGTCAGTTCCAGGTGTTCAATTGTATCAGTCAAAGGCCGGTTCTCACTTTATTTTCGGTTGAGAGAATCGTGAATTTCTTCTGCCCCTCTCCAATATCGCGGGATGAGTCAGGATTCCCGCTATCAGTGGGCACTCTGATTGGTCGATTTGATACATTATCAGGTGACCAGTCCTAGCCCCGCGAAAGCCTTTCTTTGTGATTGTTATTGTGTTTGTTATTGCTGTCTTGATAAATTGATTTTGAGTTGATAAAAGTGTGAGACTCTCTATTACATTAGGTCGGCATCTCTGTTGTCTTTGCATTGCATTCAAAGTTTATATCTGGAAACAGAGTGCATCAAGACCGATCCGGCGGAAGTATATACTAAGACACTCACTCCTCCAAGGCCACTAGTACTTCTTTTTATAAACTGCAGAAAAAATAGATTAAACCAAATTTAACTCATCCCTATGTCCATAGTATAGACGCTTCTCAGGCCCCCCACGATAGTAACGAGTTGAAGAAATTCGGCTTCTACCTACTAATGTAGGAAAGGTGGCCATAGGACGTAAAGGTCGCATTATCCTATCCAAAAAGCCAGCGAAGGAGTTCTCAACAGCATTAGCAATAAAGGCTAAATTATACGAGGCAGGTTCTCATAAACGCCTGCCTGTACCAGGTAACCTTAACTCAAGTACTATAGGGATTTAGACTAACTACTCAAACTCCCAGAGAATAGTTAGTCACATTTTATCGTGGACCTTCTAACTTAGTATTAAGACACACCAGATTCCCAAGACAATTAATGAACAGCCCGAAGACATCTTGATGACGTCCATCTTCCAGCGCCGATCATATGTCTTAAGATCAACATTCCTTCCCACAAGTTAGTAAGAGACACATTCCACAGAGAAACACCGGCCATCACTTGACGAACATCGGAATGCAGTTTTTACTTTGGAACAGCACAGGATCCAGACTTGGCAGCCCCCTGCCTATCATGCACCGATCTAGAATCCCTGCCCAAAGCTATTGTAGTCTATATGCTTTCATGACATGTATCTCGCGTATAATGTATGTGTTGGCTACAACAGCGAATATATAGCTCGTCTTTTTCTCGCATGCAGTGCGGACATTGTATTTATGGCTGTTTCGATAGACGCGGAAGACGAGCCTGGATGTATAATATGTAGTGCAGTTTCGTATTGAAGCTGAGGCTTCTACTATTCCTCTAGCTATGGCTGGTATCGATGGCATGTGTCAATTCTATATTCAAAGAAACAATCATAAATAATGTCGGAGATACGTATGGCTGGTTCCTTAAACACAACCACTCGATCATATTTGTCTATATACTCGGAATCGTCTTCTGCTTTAGGAAATCAACTATCATCAAATGAAGCGGATGCCACCCAAATCCCCCACCTACACTTCTACCTATGCCCAAGATGGGGCAAATGTTGGATCCACATGCGCTAGCGTGGCTAGGCACTTTATGAGATCCCACTGTTGTGGGATCTATCTCAGAACGGTATCCATCTTCGAAAAAAAAAAACCGACGGTCTAGAGCCAACGTCATTCAAGGATCACGATGATTTCTCTCCCGTGAAATGAGACACTCTACTAGGACACCCCGGCTTCCCGCATACCGTCAGCCCAACAGTCTCAGTCAAAGTGATAGAGATGCGCTGTACTCTACTCCGTACTCAGTATACCAGCCCACTTTCCTAGCTCCCAATAAGCACCTACTCCATCCCACCAACCACTACCCACCTTGCCCCGTGGATGCGCGGGGTTACCACCCCTCGACCCGAGACTCCATGCAGCAAGCCGCCGCTAAGAACGCCTTATTCGACGGGCCTGCAAGCCACTACTCCGTATATCCGACCCCCTTACGCCGGACTATCGAGTATATCTCCAAATGCGTAAACCGACGGACCACACCCCGTATGATTGGTGACATCCGTCGGTTAATAGCCTAGGATAACGAAGTAGACTTTGGCGGGTGTGTCACTCATGTTTGAGATTCTGCCGGTAAGCTTGTGTTTTCGGTCTGCTGCAGATGTTGGTGGCTTTTTTGATAATCGCACGTTATTGATGGTTTTGGTTGAGGGAGAAGGACTGGGATTTGATATCGGCTTTTTGGAACTGTGGGAACTCCGAAGGGGTCCGGTTGACACGTAGCTTTTGTCGTGTTCTGTGGGAAGGGATCCCCGCTTGCTTTGTTGGCTGTATATATTTTGTGATATTTTGCTCAGTCTCGGCGTTCTTTGTTTTATGCTGGGGTTGGTTTCACTGCGTCGGATTATTCCCGTGGTGGGGGTGAAGTGCCGAGGCTATGGTCTTATAAATTGTTTTTGGACTGGACTTGGATTTTAATTTTGACTATGGGCTCCTCGATACTCTGTTGTAGGTTTCAAACTCCTCTTGTAGTACAGAGTACAGCAGGAAGGTGCAAGAGTATGCAGGGGCAAAGGGCACCACTGCCGAAACTTACTGCAACCTCGATTTACGTTCTAGTAGGAATGGTAGAAATACTTACTATTATCTATATATTATTCGCCACTGCGATTTTCAGGGACTCTCAGTGGGTGAGGTGAAGAAGATCAGCTCTAGATTTGCACCTGGGCAAAATACGCGATAGTATGAAACCAAAGCCAGCCCAGTATGCAGCTAGCTCAATCGGGACTAATGTGTAGGTTGCCTTTGCTTTTGTACCTTTATTATTAGCTCATATTTGACTCTAACGGGTCATCGTATCGTTTAGATGTTACTTTGTCTAGGGGATGATGGTCCAACACGAAGATAAGACAAATACCTCATTTGAATATAAGATTTAACCTTTCTAAATAAAGGTCTGCAATTATACAGCTTTTAACCAAATGCGCCACTGCTCAAGAGATAGCTGGATGGTTGGAGGCTTGGACGGGAATGCAAGACATGCTCACACCGCAGGCCATCATGAGATTGTATCAAGCACCTAGAACAAGTTCAAGGGAGATTCAGCCTATTGCGCCAGCCAGTCAGCGTCAACGGTTTCCTCCCTACACGCGTAATGATAGGTGTCGGGTGATGCGGCGGAGCAAGGCAACACGGATGGTGGTTGGCTGGATAGAATCTCCTATCCAGCTCAGGGATAGATTAGCTTCAGCAGAGGAAGTAGACGGATGACATGACTGGGTAAATCACTGTTTAGTTGGGAGTTAGTCGGGACGTCACTGTGTTGAGTTAGGAGCGTGCGAATCAGAAATGACCAACTTGACGCATGACACCCCGGTCAATCACCGACTGGACGGGGATCTTGATCTTTTTTGTTTGTTTTGGGCGTCCATTCCCGCTATATCTAAACTTGATTATCTCCATTTGTGATATGAAGAAGTGAATTTTTTGTCTTTTTTGAAGTCTAGCCCTTGGGAAGAGCTGGGTCACCGGGCGGCTGCGCGTGGAGAGCGATGTACTCGGTACCTTGTGAGATATTGGTTTCACAGGTGCCTGGCCTGAAGCTTTTAAGAAGGACGATTCCTAGTTCCTGTCTCCTTTCTCTCTCACTCGTCTTGAAGAGATTGAACATATTAGGGCAAAGGAGTTCCCTGCAGTCCCACTATTAAAAGCGGCACCTTCGTCATCCCGTCCCCCCAATCTTCCAAGAAGAAAAAGAAAAGTCTGGATGTGAGGGCATCGGAGTCCTCGGACTCGTCTAAGTACGCGATTTCTATTTTTTTGGTCTCGTTTCATTGGGTTTCCCAGTTTGTGCCTCCTTTTCTGTATTTTGTCGTCATTGGCAATTTCTTTTGTTCTATTCTTGACTCTTTGGTGGAGTTTCCCCCCGCAAGTGCTTCATGCACACTAACCGGGAAAAAACAATTAGATGCAACATTCTCCCTCGGATTCCCCTTTTACGTTTTCCTTCTCTTCTTCTTCTTCTTCTTCTTCCATCTACCTCTCGTCTCGTAATAGTTCATTTACACCAAGTAAGTGGCTCAATTCCAGGCTTTTGTCTTTTTCCTAGCCTATACCTCGGGTTCGATATTTCTTCTATGACTCGTAAAACATATTCTGTCGGCTATCGCGATACGCCTTGCATTCTTCGCTCAACACATGTGGCATTCTCATACTAACCCAAATCTCCAGGCCTATCATCGGCCTCGTATCGACGCTCCGCATTCCAACCAAGAGATCATCTTGAAAGTCTGATCACGAAACACGGCTACCCCACACCTGTGTCACTCTCCTCTCTGCGAGATCTGACGGCCACTTCGTCTACTTATACTCCCCCTTCGCCTCGGCCCAGTTACCCGGATCCCAGTCCGATCGACACTTTTGACTCATTTACTTTATCATCCACACGACCCATTCCTATCCCAAGACGCCCCGGTCCATTATACGAGGATCTTCCAGTGACACCACTCACGGGTCGATTCGATCACGAATCTTATTTTGACGATTGGGAACGTGCGTCTCAGTCCGCCAAGTCCCGACAAATACTTCCAATCCGGCCTGTCCGTCGGTATCCATCGCGGCCGCTGCCATCCTCAGCAATAATGCGTGCTGATAACTCACCTTACTACTCCCCTGCTGCCTCACCTATCATGTCCCCACGGCGCTCAAACTCTCCGCAGCCAACTCGCTGTCGTGCCCAGAACCCTTCCAAAGTGAAGCAAACCCAGAACTTCCACCTCGGCAGCCTGCCCCGGTTCCATCCTGCCGTATATCAGTCGAGCAGCACTTCTCACAACGCTACAGCGCAGCCTCCATCTCCTCACCAGTCTCGGCAGTCCACCTACCGCACTGCAGCCGGGTCACGCGACATGATGTGGCAGTACCGTGAATACATCGAGGGCGTCCACCAAGGTCCTTCGGCGCCCCGTTTGGATCCTCTGGTTAGTCCGGGTCCCGTCACGCCCCTGGCGCTAGAGGCGGGTGATTATCTCGCCCATGGCTCCATGAACAACACATCCGAGCGGATCCCGCGAGATGTCCCGAAGAACTCCGGCCCTCCGGCTGAGCTGGTGGAGAAGCTCATTGCCTATGAGGAGATGGCCCGACAGATGGCGCGAAAGTCCGCCAAGGGCCGATAGTAGACTGTCCCACCCTGGCTCTGCATCAAAATGTTTTTGTTTATTATCCATTAGAGAAATGGGAACCCCCCGAGGTTCTTCCTGCCTGTTCATTTTATATCTGTTTTATTGGTATTCGGGAACAAATGAGCTCACTCCAGGCTGATACAGTGTGCATGGGTCTTTTGGTTTTCATCTCTTTTTTCATCTCCTTTTTGTTATCTCGTCATTCTTACCCCTCATGGTCAAACTTCCTCGGCGTCGGCCGACTACTGTGTTTGATCTTGCATCACGGCATCATGTATCTAAATTATACCCCGCTCTAGTCCAGTCTCGGACCTTGGCACATCCAAGTTTCAACCTTCAATATCAAACATATTATTCATCCTCCTTTGTTTGACCACACCACCGTGGCAGCTACCAACCTGGCGCCGTAACGTGTCCTTCCAAAATTAATTGTTACGGTCGTAAGCCAAGTCCCCTGAGGCGTAGTGGACATGCTAGTTTGACACTTGGAGGTGTCTGTTAGATCATATCCGCTTCACTTGCAGCCCGCCAGGGCAGCCGTGTAGCCCATCTGGAGTGCCTTTCTAATCTCCAGTAATCTCTAGTAATCTAGACAATGAATTTTTATCATGCCTTTTTTTTTGATCTTGTACGACTTTCACCCGGCTTCCCACCAAGTCGCTTCGAGATCAGCAGTCCCGATAACCCAAATCTTACAGGGATGATATGCAGACCTTCAAAGCTAATCCCCAGATTTACTACTCCCATTAGGGCTAGCTCAAACTGTAGCTCGAAATCTCCAATTCACGCCTAAGGCATCACCCGCGATTCGGAGGAACACTCACTCTCCCCGAGAGGAGTCTGCGGGGCCCAAGCGATTATCATACCGACTCCCCTCGTTAATATTTTCCTCAATTACCTCATTGCAGTTCATATATATACCCCAGCTTCCCCAGACAAGACGCGCCGGCTTGCAAAAACCCTCCTTGGCAGCTCAGCAACCCCAAACCACTCTATCCTTATCAGCATCGTCATCACATTTCCAAGGTTCGCTTTTACCGCCCACGCGTTGCGCACGAGCACCCCACGAGTCCAGCAGGCGTCATTTCCGTGACGCATTGGATCGCCAGATCCAGGATCGGAGATTGGGGAAATTGGGATCGAGATTCGATTCTTGGACGATGTCATCGACGCCGGCGCCTTTACCTGTTTCGGAGATGACGAGCCAACAGAAGGAGAACGCGCTTGCTCAGTCTGGGACATCGAAGTCGAATTACAAGGGCTTTGTGGCGGGTGTTTTTTCGGGAATTGCGAAGCTTAGTGGTAGGTTCAAGTGTTCTGTGGTTTGAGTTGGGGTTGAAGCTAATTTTTGTTTTTTTAGTTGGCCATCCGTATGCAGAACTGAACTAACCCCTTCGCCTTGGGTCAATTGTTAACGAAATCGCACAGATTCGATACCGTCAAGGTTCGCCTGCAAACTAGCAAAGATGTGCAGTTCAAGGGACCGTTGGATTGCACGTTGCAGACTTTGCGAAAGGAAGGGTTACAAGGGTTTTACAAGGGAGCTACGCCGCCGCTGGTCGGATGGATGATGATGGACTCTATGTGGGTGTTCCGCGGTATCAAGAGGAATAATAGGAATAATGCTGACTGTCTGCAGCATGCTGGGCTCCTTGACTCTGTATCGCCGATTACTACTCGAGAATGTCTTCTCGAAACCTCACCTCCGCTCTTACCTCCCCTTCTCGCGCTACCAGCCAGACCTCGCAACTCTCCCTAGCTTCGGACATGGCATTGCAGGTATCATGGCCGGTACAACGGTCAGCTTCATCGCAGCCCCCGTCGAGCACATCAAGGCACGTCTGCAAGTGCAATACGCCGCCGACAAATCGCAGCGCATGTACAGCGGGCCGATCGACTGCCTGCGCAAGATGGTGAGTGCCAATGACTACATTACATATACACCCACCGACTAACATGGACAGGTTCGCACGCACGGCATCCGCGGCCTCTACCGCGGCCTCTGGGCGACAATCTTCTTCCGCTCGTTTTTCTTCTTCTGGTGGGGCTCCTATGACGTCCTGACTCGCTACTTCAAAGAGAACACCAAGTTGTCCGCCCCTGCGGTCAATTTCTGGGCCGGTGGTATCTCCGCTCAATGCTTCTGGCTCACTTCTTACCCGTCCGATGTCGTGAAGCAGCGAATCATGACCGATCCCATGGGTGGTGCGCTGAATGACGGCAAGCGACAGTTCCGCGGCTGGAAGGACGCTGCGATCGCCGTATGGCGCGAGCGTGGGTGGAGAGGGTACTGGCGGGGCTTCGTGCCATGCTTCCTTAGGGCGTTCCCGGCGAATGCTATGGCTCTGGTTGCGTTCGAAGCCGTGATGCGGACCTTGCCCTAACTCCTTCACGGTCTACGGAGAACACGAACCCAAAATGATTACATATAGAACTTTCATGGCTAGATAATAAATTAGATGAACATACCCGTTGTTTATGCATGATTTGTCTCCGATGAAGTTAATCTCGGCTTGGGGTAGTCCGCGATCAGGAATGTGTGCTCTGTAGCGATGAGCCGCATTCGGCGATGAGACTCTTCGGGGCCCTCCTTGAAGCATCCCGAGATAGCACGGAGATACTCCAGGGTCTAAGCGAATCCCAATTCGTAATTGGGCCATGCAGCTGGGATTGTGAGCTCGGCCGCCGAAGGGTCCTCGATAGTGAGGTGACATGGGTTGTCTTGGTGCTGTCTCGTTCCGGACAAGGCAAAGAATAAAACTTATACATTATCCATAGCTGTTCTCTTTAAAACTTACACTCTCTTTCACGTCAACATTATTTCCCGTAGTCGTCAGCAGGGGAGGAATTGAGGCAAATTGAATCTGGTTCCTTAGTGCCTGAGGCAGTCCCGCAGTCCACGTCAACGGTTTCACCAGACAGCGACAACGCCTCAAATCTCCAATTTAACGAATTAACGCTGATCGGCCATGGCCGTTGCACGCTCCATGCGCCGCACGAGCCCAATCGGCCTCGTGCTAGCAGCGCTGCTAGCATTTGGCTTCATATGCTTCATGCTCTCGCCCTCAACTCCCTCCGCAACCTCCGCATCCGCCAGCTCCCAACAGCGCCAGGAAAACGCCGCCGAACACCCCCTCTCCCCGCCGACCAAACCCTTCTTCAAATCTCAAGCCGTCCGCAGCGATGGCTTCAAGGCCGCCCCGCCGGTCGTGCACTACGACCTCAACAGCCTAACCAGCACCGCGGACTCCATCGCCAACGGCGAGCGGATCCTCATCCTCACCCCGCTAGCCCGCTTCTACCAAGGCTACTGGGACAACCTCGAGAAGCTGAGCTACCCGCACGAGCTGATCTCGCTGGGCTTCATCGCGCCGAAGACAAGCGACGGCAACGCCGCAGTCGCGGCTCTGGAAAAAGCAATTGCCAAGACGCAGTCGGGGCCAATCGACAACCGCTTCGCAAGCATCAGCATCCTGCGCCAAGACTTCGACCCGCCGTTGAAATCCCAGGACGAGAAGGCCCGCCATGCAATGGCCGCGCAGAAGGAGCGCCGCGAGTCCATGAGTCGCGCGAGGAACAGTCTCGTCTTCACGACGCTCGGCCCTGCGACCTCGTGGGTGCTTTGGTTAGACAGTGACGTCGTCGAGACGCCTAATACCCTCATTCAGGATCTGACGGCGTTCAATCAGCCCGTTATCGTGCCGAATTGCTTCCAGCGCTACTACGATTCCACGAAGAAGAGTTGGGATGTCAGGCCTTATGACTTCAATTCTTGGGTTGATAGCCAGATTGCGCAGAACCTCGCTGCGAATATGGGGCCCGATGAGATCCTCTTGGAGGGCTACGCGGAGATGCCGACGTATCGTACCCTGATGGCGTACTTGCCAGATATGAAAAATCTGGATCCGAAGAGGATGCTTGCTCTTGACGGTGTGGGCGGTACGGCCCTGATGGTCAAGGCTGACGTGCATCGTGACGGGGCCATGTTCCCTGCCTTCCCGTTCTTCCATCTTGTAGAGACGGAGGGCTTCGCGAAGATGGCTCGAAGACTGGGATATGAGGTCATTGGACTCCCGGATTACTTCGTATGTTTCGTCTAATCTGCATTTGCAGAGATGGGGACAATCTTGCTAACATGCTTTTTCTTTTTTTTTGCAGGTCTACCATTATAACGAGTAAATGGTTGACAGCCTCGTTTAACGTCTATTTCACTTGCATACACTGCGCTGTGCGCGTCTCGACGCCTTTCTCGTCTCTCTGGGCCATTCGAGAGATTCATTAGCAACATTCAGCTCCGTGTCCGTCTCTCTGTTGAGGGGGTTTATTTCATACGTGCTTGGGATGGTTGTTTCCCCAGGTCTCAAAATTGACTTTGCATTATTCTGTGTATTACCAAGGAATATGAGTGGGTATCTATTTATGTTGGAGAGGAGTTAGCTCCAAGGACCAAGGGCGTTGCTGGCTTGATGATTCTTGTGCATTTATTTTGGCTCTAACATGGCTATCTCCATGTTCAATGAACGTTACTTATTCGTGCAAGATTGAATTTAAATGAATCATATTAGAGACATAAAAAGCACCATAGTATCTAGTAGCAAGGCGTTGGTCTATTTATAACTCGTCACTTATGTATCCTTTTCAACGAGCCAGAGGTATGAACTTTTGTCGTGCCAAGGCTAACAGTGCTGGGCACAGTATGATATTACCGGTGTATACCAGCATATACCAATGTCCGATACAACAATCAATCCCAAGAAATACTATAAAGCGTGTCAGTGATATTGTGCCTGGAAAGCATGGCGGGGCGAATGGATACTTACGCAAGCATAATACCGGCTCCAAGAGCAACAGCCAAGAACTGCGTGATAGTCTTCCGCACCTCAACGCCCTTATCCTTGCCAGTCTCCAGCAACTCCGGAATCACAGCCACGGTGCCAACATACAAGAATGTGCCCGCCGTGAACGGAAGAAGCATATCACCCCAAGTAAGGCTAGTTCCCAGAAGACCAGCAGACTTGCTATCATCCAACATAGTGCCATTGCCACCGAATTCCTGGACAGCGATTCCAATAAAAGTGCCCAAGAACGCACCAATAGCGGTCACGAATTGCGCGCCCATGGCCTTGCGCTTCGAGAAGCCAGACTGAATCAGCAGAGCAAAGTCACCGACTTCATGGGGGATTTCGTGGAAGAAGACAGCCACAGTGGTCGTCGCGCCGATAGTAGGTGAGGCATAGAAAGAAGAGGAAAGAGCAAGGCCATCAGTGATGTTATGGGTGAAGTCAGCGATGAGATTCAGGTAACCGCCAAGCTTGACGCTGGGGTTGATTTCTTTCTCGGGAACGACCTCAGCGGACTCCTTGGCAGCAGACTTGCGCTTCTTCAGCTCGCCGCTGGTCTTCTTGCTGTCAGCTCCGGATGTAACTGCATCGACTGGTTCTGTGTGCGCGTGGCTGTGCGAGTGGTCATGACCGCCCTCGCCGCCAGTGGCGATGCGCAGGGTTTTGTCCATTGCCACGAAGGTGAAGAATCCGACCATGATTCCCAGACCCAGAAGGAGGTTCTTGTTTGGCTCGACCATTACGAAGCTCACGTGGTCGGGGGAGGCTTCGCCGACAAAGATCTCGGGGAGTAGGTGGAAGAGGGTGTCGCCAAGTAAGCCGCCGACGGCAAATGCAACCATCACTGACAGAGAGGAGGGGTCGATGTTGGGTGGGCATAGTGCCAGGAGGAAGTCTAGAGCAGTTAGCAGAGGCATATCACGAGTACCGAGGGAATACTTACTAGGTGGGCCGGAGATATACAAAGTTGCCAGAAGCGCGTTCACGGCTGGGGTGCTCGGGAAGAGGACAGCAAAGATCTTCGCTGTCAAGCTAGTGGACTCTGGACGAGTTGCACGCTTGTGCTCATTGAGAGACTCGACTAGTGGGCAGCTCTGTGGCAGGTCAGTTTACATGTAGGACACACAGTACTTGTACAGCATACCTGCAATTGCTCCTCGATCTGACCCACGGAGAGCCCTCCGGGACCAACATTAGCTGCAGCTAAGGCTGAGAACAAAAAGCATCCTGCAAGAAGGGCAATGCCTGTCCTGCGTGATGGAAAAAAGCGAGAAGCCATTGCGAATGAATTGGCCAGGGTGCTGTAAAGTGACAAGCAATACTCCGTATACCCACGGAAGTAGAATCCCCGTGGACAGCTGAGCCGCTATCGTTGTTTATCGCGGGACACTGAGCAAACATGCCAAGCCTTGCAAACTCGGAAAAAAAGTTTCGATAACGCTTTTTTATTATCGCCGACTCCAGCGAAGAAGAACCAATTCGACCTCCACACTCACTTCACAATTCACAATGGGTAAACTTTTGCAGAAGAAGAAGGCCCGCTCCGGGCGCTCCATGGCCCGGGCCAAGGACAGCCGTCTCAAGAGCGGCCACAAGAAGATCAATGTGCTGGGAAATCAGATCATCGCCGACAACTGGTATGCACATTTTGCTCAACTTGAAAAATACAAAAGCTAACAACTGTAGGGATCGTGGTCTGACCCTGACACAAAATTACCAGCGCCTTGGTTTGATGCACAAGCTGAACGCACCATCTGGTGGCCGCGAACGCCTTCCCGGAAACGAGGACCAATACCCCGAGAACAAGAACTCGCTGCACATCCGCGGCAGCGCCAAAGCAGCCGCAGCCAAGCTCGACCTCGGCGAGACACGAGTCGAGCGCGATCCCGAGACCGGCAAGATTCTGCGTGTCATCCACGACGACGAAGACAACATCCAAGTGGCGGGCCTCCTGCGCTCGCGCAACAACCCTCTCAACGACCCTCTGAACGACATATTGGGAAGCAAGGGCGAGAGCAATCCTCTCGCAGACTCGGTGATTGTGCAACAACTCGAGCGCCAGGCCGATCAGGAGGGCAAGACTGTCCGTGCTAAGAAGCCGCGGTACCAAAGCTCGCGCGAGGGCGAGTGGGCTCAGCGCTTGATTGAGAAGCACGGGGATAATTACACTGCTATGACTCGTGACCGCAAACTGAACCCTATGCAGCAGAGCGAGGGTGATTTGCGGAGGAGACTTAACAAGTGGAAGAAGAGTCAGTCGTAATGCCTTCATTTGTTCAGAGCATCTGGTTAGGGCGAGTCTGGCGTTTATATTTTTTTGTTTATCAAAAGTGTCTACGTGGATGCAATGCGTCCCGAAGTAAATATTATTGGACGGCGACTGAGCCGCTTGGATTCGTTATACTGTTCCTTTAGTTGTTACTGCTGAGCGTCGAGTAGGTGACACCCCCGGCCGGCGGGAGGCTTATTCGTTGCACCACTCGTACCCATCGTCGGCGTCTCCATTCTCCCACTCCGTAGGATGCAGTCCCTTCCTCCCAATCCCGTTGCGTCTTCTCCTGCTCCTTGCCCTTGGTTTCCTTGGGAGATGGTGGGTCATGTAGGTCTCCGTAGGCTGACGTCAAATCGTCCCCTGGTTCTTGCCGAGGCGGGGGCAAGTCCCAAACCCAACCACCGACTTCTCCGACAATGGCATTGCCTTCCGCATTCACGCCTGGGACCTCGAATCCAACACTAGTGATCATGCGCTCCAAGACCCATTCACGGCAGTCTAGGTCGAGTTCCCACTTCTTGCTCTTCCAAGCCCAGCCACGCGGGGCACGGACATCCTCAAAGAATCGGCATCCACGAGGGCGGTCCCCGGCAATGCGAGATGGTGATAGCGGGTCGTATGGCGCGTGGCTGAAGAGGAAGCTCTCCCACCCAGACTCTGACGTTCCTGCGGCCCGGTGCTGCAGCTCAAAAATTTCCACCTCCCGCTCCTCGGGATATGTGTCCAAGGAGATATCTGCGAGTTTTTCCATAGCCGACATCACTGCGGATGGGTTTGTAGAGACCGATGAGCCGAACCCATCATTCTTGTCCGATTCTTTGTCTGAGGAATTTCCATTCATATCTTGCATCAAACTCCAGAGGAAGTGTCCCACCGTTGGGTGGATGGAAAGAACCAGTGCATTGCCGCAAAGAAGCAGCACAAGCTTAAGGGGCAGCAGATGCGCACTGATGAACAATACTACTATAGCAATTGTGCATCCGAGAAATAGAGTTGAAGAGAGCTTCTCGTTGGAGAAATTCGTCAGCGGCGCAAAGACAGAGAGGGCAGCATCGTGGGCGTCTGAGAAATCAGCCATGCAATTCTGTAGATCCCGCATGTTCCGAAGGAAGTCTTTGGAAGTCTCTGGTGCTGGCTTAATAGTCGTGGCTGGTGCCAGCGCTGGCCCATCATAGGAGTAGTAAGGAGTAGTGATGGACGTCGAGGTGCTTGGAGGTGGTGGATGACGAGTCGCAAAGGACGGCACCATTATAAACAGTAAGATAATCACTAGAGGCAAAACGAAAAGGAGATGGGGTTCTAAGCAGAGGAAAGAGTAGACAAAAAGGAAGGAGATTGTATGACTTGGTGTGTCCCAGGTGAATAGTTGCTCAACACGGCTCTGGAACAGAAATACCACACCGATTCTATAGTAGTTTTAGCCTCGGTAGGATATCACATGGGACGATTCGATTCTACCTTGCATTGAAACGGCGGAAATTGTTTGCCATTACAGGCAAACTAAAAGCCGGTTTCTGAGGAGAGGCAAAGACCTTGTCTCCCGCTGAATCATTTTCATCCTCATCGTCCGTTGGGATGACTTGTTGGAGAAGCCTGCGATCGTCAGCTGGAACACGGATCTATCGGATTTACCCAGGAGCAAACCCATTCCAAACATACTTTGTAAATAGGCGGTCTTGCAGTGAGTTCTTGGATAGAGAGGAAGACCTCGAATGCGAGCTATCTGGCGAACCCGGTCTATTCCGTTTTGTGGGCTTGGGCATGTCGCTCAGTGCTTCTGTAAATCCATCCATGACTAGACATGGGATTCTACAGGAAGAAGAGAGGAGGTGAAAAGGGAAGAGAAGTAGTTAGTCCTCCGTACTCCGTAGAGAGTCGGCAATTATACGATCAGCCCCAAGCACATGCTTTGCCGGGAAAGAGGCTGACATAATCCCGTGTGTATCAGGGGAACCTCGAGGTACGATAGTTCACGAAGAAGAACAAGTTGGTCTCATTGATTCTTTCTTGTACTTGATTTTTTTTCAGATATACATGTGTTTTATATGTGATTCTTCACATCCCAC